TATAAAAAAGATACGTTAGAATAAATATGTATTGCATAAATAGATCATTTTTAAATTTTATCATTGTTTTATAGTTACTTATATATAAAATAACAAGTATTTGTTCTACCTAGGAGATTTTGGAAACATTCAGTATCTCAGAATATTTCCAATGGTTGCCAGCTGGTTTATCGGAAGCTCATTGAGTGTGTGTTATAGAAGAAACAGCAGCCTTCTTGGATTTGTTGACACACTGTACTTTCTCTTCTAAGTCTTTATTTTTTGATTTTTTGAATATGACCCATTTTATTTAATACTTTTATTAATGCTTATATAAATGCTGAATCAAATTTTTAAAAACTCAATTCTAGTAATACCCGTAAAAAATTTTAAAAATTCAATTTTAGTAACACCTCTAAAAAAATTACATTAAATTATACAATTTTCAAGTAAATATGTTTATATTGAAGGTATTCATAACTATTACATAATTATTATTTATATTTAAATTTTAATTACTACTATAAGCGGTTAAATTTCAAAGAATTCAACTTGTCATCATTATTGACCCCCTTAGTGAATCAGGCTCCAATGAACTCTACCAAATAGGCAAGATAGATTTATTCTTATATCGACTAAAAACATTGGTTTTCTAAATTCTCTAGGGTAAGGACCATCAAAAATGTATAATTTTTGGATTCTGATCTAAAAAATGGTAAAAAAAGCTCAAGTTTTATCAAAAATTAAGAAATTGAGACTTTACATATAGCTGAAATTGACCTCAGAAAAATATATAATAATTAAGCGTGTCCCAAATAAAAATTTTTTTTTTTTGGGACATCCTAATGTGCATTGAATTGTATTGGAGATAAAATAACATGTATTTTTGTTTGGGTAAGTAAAAAACATGACGTTTTAAATAAGCGTTTCGATTTCAAGCAAATAATACGACTTGAAACTCGTACTTTTAAAATGACTCATAAGAGGAAATTAGGGGCAATGTATATAGTTCTAATAGGTCATAGACATGTGCATATACTATCTTAAGCACTAGATATAGGTTCTCGTGGTTTTCCTAACTTATATGACGCTTTTTGTATAAAATAAAAGTATTAGATGTTATAAACCTTGTTATTATCTTTTCTTCATATAATTTTCATAAAGTTATATTATTAAATAGTTAATAATATAACTTTATGAAAAATCACAAAATTTTAAAGTAGCTAAAATGTTTCTTACTAGCGTTATAACCGCAGCTAGAACCTTGTCATAGTAAAAATACGACTATTTTCATAAAGTTATATAATAAAATAGTTAAATTACGAAAACTAATTTTGTATAATTTACGAAATTGTTAAATTACGAAAACTAATTTTGTGGCGGGGTAGCTGAGATGGTTAGAGCGTCAAAGGAAAAGTTAAAAACCTGGACTGTTAAACGATACTAGTTCAAATCCCGTCACAGCCAACTCAGCGCTTGAGCAATACTTCGGTACGCAAAAATGTTGGTCAATAACGAACGCTACTTTGGATTAGTCTTAATGACAATTTGTGGCTGTTCCTATGCTAAGCCAACAATATCTTCGGATATAAGAACATTGTATAGACAAAATATAGCATGGAAAACTCAAATAAATAAATAAATAAACAAATAAATATAAACGTAGTTAAAGATTTCACAACACGCAAATTTATTTCTATAGTTTTATTTTAGCAACAAATGATTTGTTTTGGTAAAAAATTGTCGCGTTGGTTTGACAAGGTTCTAACTGATTCGTGGGTAATTTTGAATAAATCGATGTCCAACAATTGTTACGTTACTATCATAATATTCTTTGATAAACTTTTATGATACTAACATAACAATCGATTGTTACTAACATAACATTTGATTGATACTAACATAACAATCGATTGTTACTATCACAAAAGTTTACTTCTATCAATTGATAACATTTTTCGATCATGATTTCATAGGCATTTGGATTTAGTATTACTATTTGTAACGAAAAAAATGTTTCACTCTTCATTAAAAAATAAAACCCCCCCAAAATGCTGTTAGAACCTTGTCGTTGCAAAATAGTCGTATTTTTACTATGACAAGGTTCTAGATGCGGTTATAACGGGAGTTAGAAACATTTTAGCTACTTTAAAATTTTGTGATTGAAGTAGTTAACTACTTTTAAATTTTGTAACCAAAACAATTATATAACAAAAAGTAATTTCCGTATTATCTAACAAGATTCTACCATTATATCGTCAACTGAGAACCAAGAGGCCGTTTGTCCATATTTTGTGTTTTTTCTGTTTATTATTAATAAATATTCAACAAGTAATGGGGTATGTATCCAATAAATCTAGTCTCAAGAATGATACACTTTTTTAAATATTTAAAAAATTACTCGGACTTTCTGGCAGAAAGCCTTTACAAATTAATTTTTAAAACTTGATTTTTTCGAAAACCCAAAAAATGAACATACGGCCTCTTGATTCTCGGCTAACGATATTATATTTAATAACTGTTACATTATGTCTTAAAAGCTTAAAAGCATTTTATCACATCCTATCATTTTATAGGTAAAGAACAACTAGTTAGTTATCTCGGTCCTGGAGAGGATCAAAAGAAAGTGCAGCATTAAATTGGGCAAATTTAAATCTTTGGTTTAATATTTAAAAATCTAGAAGTTGATGGGCTATTGCCAGCATTTTTTCTGTTAGGCTTTTTTCAATAATTTGACATTAGCACAAGTCATAGTTTCATTTCAATCATGGATAGATAATTTTAGCAATGTTGGAAAAAAGAACTAACTTTTAGTTATATAGCTTTGCTGTTAAACAATATCATTGAAGTTTTGTGGATTTATTTGAATAACATATTAATAATGACAAGGATTTTTTGCGTTAACTTGTATAAGGGTCCTAATCAATCCAAGTAAAGATAAAAATCAGCTATCCTCTGAACTTTTCAATTTAATTATGCGCATGATCCACTTTCTGGACACATAAATGACTAGGAAGTAAGTATTTTGTAGTGTTTAAGTTAATGCTAAGAATCTCCCTTTAAAAATGTACCACACTATTTGATATTATACTATTATAAAATGCTCATGTCGCTTTTTTCTCTGCCACAATTTTTATTCATAACATTGCCTGCTTTTTAACATTACTAATAAACATTTTATTACAAATTGTTCAACTTTTTTTATATTACTAATGTATATGATGTAGTAAATTAAAATTATATTATTTTGTTCATAAATTATATTCTAAATTATACATTCATTAACTGACCGTTAGAGATAAGCAATGGCTAATGAACAAGCATGACTGACCATTTAATACTAGACGCGGTTAAACCTCTTTAACAGTTAAGGATACGCGCGGCAAAATGTATTTACATCAATTAATGGTAAGTTAGTGAGAAAACTGAATTGTCATTATTAAAGTTTAAAAAATAGTTTTACCTTATAACAGCCATTTATTTTTGTTTTTAATAGTTATTTCAACACTGATAGAAACCAGTACATTTTTGATGGACAGTGTAACGTTATAAAATAGATTTATAAAAAACAGCGAGTATTTGCGTTTTTGTGATTTTTTTATTTTACATCAACATCAAACTAGAAAACTATACGTTGATATTGAGACCAATGTTTTTATATGATTTTTGATGAGAATGAAACTTTCTATCATAACTAACTAATAATCTGGACTTAGGGTTTACCCTAAGTTGTTAGTTGGAACCTTGTCAAAATAAATATAAGTTACCTTAAATAGCAGATAGAACTTTGGCACATTGATAGTTCGCTTTTTTTTTTACGCCAGATCGCAGTAAATTTTATTTTATTTTTCCAATAAAGTCAGTTTCAATTTTGTAAAAAATGTCAGTAAGAACCTTGTCAAACCAACGTGACGAAATGTTGTCTGAATAATATGATCAATATCAATTTTATCTCAAAAACTCTTAATATAAAAGTTTTACATTCAGCTTGACTTATATTTGTTTTGTTTATATTTATAGACAAAATGATGCCAAATGTAGTATTCCGGAGACTCATTAGTATCAAATATGACCGGTTATGTTAATACCCGAACTAGTTCAAATAAACTTTTTTTTACGAAAACCGATTTTTAAACAAACATGTCTAGTAAAAAAATTAGTTTAAATTGTTATTTTTTTTCAATTTTAGGTTCGTATAAAATTTATTTATAAAATATAAATTTTATTATTAATTGTTGCAAATAAAGCAATATAAAACATCTATATTATTAACAAAAGTAGTAATAATAATAATTGAACAAGAATACTAATAAAAACAATAATAATAATAAATAATGAAAGTAATAATAATAAGTTATCAATCAATGAAGTGAAATAACTTTAAAATCTCATGCATAATTTTAATAATAGTTTCCTTCCTACAGGTACGAGCAACTTGACAGACAGAATATTTTAAATTTTAAACAAGTTATTAAGATTCATATAAAATATCCGCAGAATATAAATCTTATATATAATGCTGTTGTGCTAATGCTGTTAAATGAAAAATTAGCATAAAAGTAAATTCAAATAAATATTTTTAGTGAAAAGTACTAAATTTTTTCGCATTCAATAGTTAATGTTTTATAAACACGCTTGGATTTGCTTGTAAAAAAAAATATATTTTCAGACTTAAAAATGGGCTTTTTTCCCCAAGCACACCCAGTCCAGTATAACAGGGAAACCAGTGTCGTAATTATGACCTTTATAGTTACAACACTATAGCCCCTATAGTTACGACACTGAACTATGTTACTTATTACACGATGAGTCTAATTTTTGACTTGTTGACAAATAACAGTTTTCAAAATAATTGCTAGGGAATGGAGACTCAAAATTCAAATGAATTTGATGCGGTCCTTAATATGATCGAGGTCAAAACCAAATTTACTAAAGGTGATAGCTTCAAATAAAGATCATGCGGCATTTTAGAAGTCAAAATAAGTAAATTTTTAAATATATAAATAACTTTTACAAAATTTCATAGAGTTACAATTACATTGAGATTTTTTTATAAACTTCACTTGTTAAAAAAAAAAGTGACAACATCAGATATAATGCTTCAGAAGCATATAATATTGAAACAAAGTATTATAAAAAAAGATATATTTGAATCTATTTGTAACTAGTTTAATATGTATAGAGGTTATTTTATACTATAATTGCTTATTGTAATAAATCATTTGAAGTTATTAGCTCCATCAAATCATTAGCTCTAACAAGCTCATAATTAAAAAACCTGAACAAATGCCTGGGTGCTTCCGTCTCTCCATAAAGGATCATCTGCAACTTTTGCGCGACACATTGGACATGTTCTTTCGCGATCAAACCACATTACAATGCAATCTTCACAAAATATATGCTAAAAGGAATTCAAAGAAATTTGAATTTTTTTTTTTTAAATATAAAGAAAAATTTTGATAAAGATATGATCCATTTAAGTTTAAAATCTATAATTTATATGGGACGCTAAAACTCAATAATAGAAGGACTTACTTTACAGGAATTTAGTTCAATGGGATCATCCATTTCTTCTTGACATATAGGGCAAGAATCACCGAATTCAATGAGTTGCTCTTTGGATGGAGTTTTACCGTAACGCTGCAATTTAAAAAAATATTTTTAATTAAAAAAATGCCATGGTTTGAAAAAAAAAAAATCATTTACTAGAGTTTCTTTAAAAATAATAGAAGTAAAAAATAGTAGAAATTACTGTATCTTTCCAGAAACACCTGAGTGAATCAAGCACTTCTTTACCTTTAACAAACAACATACGTAGCTACAAAAACAAAAGAAAAAAAAATTTAATACAAAAATTTTTTTATTAATGACAAAAGTATAAATGAAAAGTAGAGAAGAATGGGAAGAAGTGGTACATTAAAAAATATTTCTAGAATAATTTTAGTATGTTTTTTGATATTATGTGTGCACTGAATAGAGTTTTAAAAAACAAAAAACCATTGTGGGCACTAATTTCATCCTCTAAGAATGACGGCAGATTATAATAAAATAAACATTTCTTTGATTTTAGAGGAACTGTGCCATTGGGGTTAAGCGGGATAGGTGTGGGGTGAACCACGTTATCTTCATCAAAATATTCTAGAGGTTTCCACAATCACACAAAAGTAATATGGGAGAAGTGAGAATTCAATTAGTTTTCTTTGTCTCACTTTACCCTTCAACAAAATTAATTTAAAAACTCAAAAATTTACTTATTTGTTATTCGTACTTAATGTGAGTAACCTTAATAACATTAACTAGTAGCATTAGTAACAGTGATTCATAACCCAATAGATATTCATTTTAAAAAACTCATGTGTAAAACCATTTTACAGTTATAAAACTTTACAGAACAAAAACTATTAAATAAAAAAATAAAATTATTTAATAAAAAACAATACCTTAAGTAGAATATAAAGAATTGTTGATATAACAGCAAAGTATTCCCCTCCAGCATTGTAATCAGTAAAAAATGCATACCAATGAGGTGAAGGAAGAAGAGTTCTGTATAATTGAGATATATTCTCAATAATTAAAAAATATTTTCCCTAAAAAATAACAACAACAAAAAAATTAAAAATAATGTAGGCGATAAAATATATAGGAGATAAAAAAATATATAGGAAAACAAAGTTTGTTAAAGTAAAAAAAAAAGATAAAATGAAAAAACACAGCACATGTGATTTGCACATAAGATTAAAAAACACTGATCACATTTTTCTAGGAAAAAACAATAAGAGTTTACCCATTATTACATGCTACAAATTTATAAAGTATGTTACACACTTTTATTTTAGGGGTGGAAAAAAACACTTTTTTATTTTTTCCAAAATAAAAAACCCCTAAGTATATAAATAAAATTGTATGACTTTTAAAACTATAACAGAATTAACAAATGGCAATAGACATTGTAAATGTTTAATACATTGACAAAATGTATTAATAAACAACATTATAAAGATAAAGTTAAATATTAAAATATTAATTGTGATTTATTAAATATTAGATTTATTAAATATTTTAGTTATTTTTAACCTAAAAACTTAAAAAATCAACTTTTTTTAACCATTTTTTAAGATTTTATTAAACTATTGTTTGTGGGTTTTATTCTCAAAATCCGTTGATTATACTTTTTTGGACAGCCTTCAATAATGGACAACAGTAGTTGCAATTTTATTAGTCAAAACAAATATCAGTACAAATAAATAACAAATAGAAGTAAAAAAATAACAGCGCAACAATTGTGATGTTATGTTGCGCTGTTATTTTTATTGTTATTTTAGAACCAGAGTGTTATATAGTATATAGTTACTATAGTTACAGAGTATTAAATAGTATTTAGTTACTATAGTTACAGAATACTATACCGTACATAGTTAGGTGTTATAAAATATCTTGAACATTTTCTAGTTAAATTCAACTACTTGCTGCAAAAAAAAAAAACACTTTGACCTGAAAAACTTGAAACCCAAAATTTTTTTTTTTTTTTTTTTAATAGAAAATAAGCTTACAGTTTATTTTGTATAAAATAACATTTAAGATTAATAAAGAAAATATTTTCAAATAAAATTGTGTTAAACATTAATTTTTTTTTCAAAAGAACAAAAATTTTGCGTAGCAACTCAAAAGGTCAAAGTGTGGTGCATAAGGAGGCCGTAGTATGGTGTACCACTTGGAGACCTGTTTGTCTTAATACCCATGAATTTCATAGAAATTTGATTATAAGCAGACACAATCATTTTTAAAATGTCCTATACTTTAACATGTAATGTACATCAATTTCAATACACTTAATTTACAGATTCAATGTACTTTAACATGTAATGTACTTTAATTTCATGAGTTAATTACAATTATGAAATATTTACAATCCTTGTATTGAGATGAATTAATAATGAAAAACATAAAAGTGTTTATGTTTTTCATCATTATTACAAACATATAGTTATGCAATTAAAGTTTCGATTTTCAAAGTTAGTTATATGAAAATATATATCTGCTAAAAAATCAAATTTTATTAATTTTGATTTATTAGCAGAATCATAATAATATACAGAATAATATGATAGTTAATACATGGAGAAGATGAATTTTCATTTTTTGCTGTTTGTTTTTTAAATCATAAAAGTAAGGTCAGAAAAACAGTTCCAAAAAAAAAAAAAAATAAGTTTAAATATTCTGAAAAACAAAAATTAAAGAAAAATTAAATTTAATATGACTTTAAATGAATAATTTTTTATTTAAGGTTTAAATAAAAAAAAATGTAATATTATCTAAAAATGATTTTTTACTATAAAAAATCATTTAGTTCAAGTTTTTATTAAGTAATATTTATCAGAAAAATAATTTATGAAGTTTCTTAGAGTTAATTTTTCATCATAATTTTATCTTGATAAATTTATTATCACCATCTTCCTTAAATTACACTAAGCGAAGTTTTCATAGTTCCATGTTGTTATTGCAGATTTTACGCAGGATTATTTATAAAATTAACCACAAAAACTATATTTATTAGACCTATTGCAAGCAAATGCGCTTATGACAATTTTATGTGTTTTTGAAACAATTAAGACTAAATTTTTTAGAATGTTTTTAAAATCTGGTATATATACATACAAAATTTCCATCAGTTCCATCAGTTTGTTTTGAACACTTAATAAGAGTTGGAGTAAGATTTTGAATTGTTTACTTCTATATGAAAATTTTGTGTATTTTTAATAAACATTTATAATTTAATTTTTACAATGCCATGCAGAAAGGTGTTAAACTAGGAAGAAAAAGCAAAAATTGTTGCTTATAAAGGTTTGTCCAACCGACAAATTGCAAAGAAAATCAAAAGGTCTCATCATGCAGTGAATAATTTTATAAACTTAGGTGAAAATAGGACAAAAATCACCCTAAGGGCGGAAATAAAAAAATAACCAGAAGGCAACTTTCTTCCATTATGCATTTGGCATCATCAGGAGTACGAACAGCAAGACAAATAAGGATTGAACTGGAATTACCTGTAACCACAAGAGGTGTCCAACAAATTTTGCAAAATCAGGACTGTTCCAGTGGAAAAAAACAATCACAAAACCACCATTAACTAAAAAAAAATAAAAGTGCAAAATTTGAATTTGCCAAGGACCGCATGACATGGGACGCAGAATGTGAAAATGTTATTTTTTCTGAGGAAAAAAAGTTTAACTTAGATGGACCTGATGGTTTTAAATATTATTGGCATGATTTGAAAAAAAAAGATAGCATTGCTAGAAGTCATAACTTAGGAAGAGGGGCAGTTATGGTCTGGGCTGCATTTTGTTTCCAATATGTTTTATTACAACAAAAATGAATGCAAGAAATTACAAAGACCTTTTGAAGGATGTTTTAATCGAGTTCAGTGAAAGTTTACCAGTGAAAATTGGATTTCCCAACAAAATAATGCGGCGATTCACATGGCACAAAGTGGAAAACAGTGGTTCCAGAAAAAATAAAAATTAAGTTTTGGATTGACCATCCTGTTCACCTGACTTGAGCCCTATTGAAAACTTATGGTGAATATTGGCACAAACTATATATGGAAATTCACAACAGCGTAATATGTTACAATAACTTAAAACTTCTATTCAACAAGCATGGAGTTGTATTTCAAAGGTTTGTTTGGAAAATCTTATAAAAAGTATGAAAAACCGAATTTTCAAATTAATTAGTGTAAAATAATAGTGTGTAACACCACATTATTAAAAACTAAAGTAAGTAAAAAGTTATAGTGTAAAATAATAGTGTGTAACACCACATTATTAAAAACTACATTTTTTTCACTACTATAAGTTAGTGAAAAATATGTAAATAGGAAAATTTTTTTTGAAGATTTTTAACATTTTCTGGTCAGGCTTATTAACGTGCTCTTCAAAACAAGAGTTTATGGGAAAAACTTTCTGACTACCATGCAAGACTATATATATATATATATATATATATATATATATATATATATATATATATATATATATATATATATATATATATATATATATATATATATATATATATATATATATATATATATATATATATATATATATATATATATATATATATTTATATATATACCACATTATATATATACCACATTATATATATACCACATTATTAAAAAGTTATAATTTAAAACAAAAATTACAATGATTTAATGTTGGAATTATTGAATTTTGAGTTTCACATGTTTTTTTGAAATATTTCTAACTTTAAGTTTTTTACAAAATAAATTAACAATTATTTTCTATTAAAATATAATTTGCATATATTCCTAATGATTCCTGCAAAAAAACAACAACAACAAAAAAAAAAATCCAAATACTTTAAGAAATCATTTATATGTACAAACTGTAAATGGAACTATGGGAATTTTGATGAGTGTTTATTCCCTTTCCTATTTTTTTAATTTGCGGAAAAACAAAAAGTTAGACTTTTTTCAGAACCAGAGTGTTATATAGTATATAGTTACTATAGTTATAGAGTATTAAATAGTATTTAGTTACTATAGTTACAGAATATTATACAGTACATAGTTAGGTGTTACAGTATAGTTACTACAAAACATTGTCTCACTCTAGTACCTAGCAACTCTGAAAAAACAAATACACATTTTTTTGTGTGAAAACGTTGTTAACTAGGTTAAAAAGGTTTTTCCTCTGTCATACTGCATATAATTATTTAAATTTGTGTAATCATGAAAAAAATAACTAAAAAAATACAACAAAATAACAACCAAAAAAAAATAACTAAAGCATATACAATAGAATGGATGACATTAAAGATGATGATGGTAAAAAATAATATTTTCATTTAAATAAATTTTTTAAAATTACATACACGCATTCGAAAATGAACAATCCTTCGCGGAGTAACAATCAAAATACATTTTAAAGCCATGGTTGCAAATCTCACAACAAAATCTAATAAAAATTTAACAACAAAATTAATTTACTTCTTTATTTAACACTATTGTGTTAAATTTTTTAAATTTAATTTTAAAAATATAAATTGAAAAAATCATATTTGTGTATGTATGTATGTATGTATGTATGCATGCATGCATGCATGCATGCATGCATGTATGTATGTATGTATGTATGTATGTATGTATGTATGTATGTATGTATGTATGTATGTATGTATGTATGTATGTATGTATGTAGGTAGGTATGTATGTATATGTATGTATGTATGTATGTATGTATGTATGTATGTATGTATGTATGTATGTATGTATGTATGTATGTATGTATGTATGTATGTATGTATGTATTTATGTATGTACGTATGTATGTATGTATGTATGTATGTATGTATGTATGTATGTATGTATGTATGTATGTATGTATGTATGTATGTATGTATGTATGTATGTATTTATGTATGTACGTATGTATGTATGTATGTATGTATGTATGTATGTATTTATGTATGTATGTATGTATGTATGTATGTATGTATGTATGTATGTATGTATGTATGTATGTATGTATGTATGTATGTATGTATGTATGATTGTATGTATGTATGTGTATGTATGTGTATGTATGTATGTGTATATATGTATTTATGTATGATTGTATATATGTATGTATGTATTTATATATTGCTATATTAAAGTCTTTACAATTACCATTTGTGGTAAAACGGCTCTTGACAACTTTTTGTGTTTAAAGATTATAAAATCAAGAAAACTTTATGTATTAATGAATTAATAAATAAAGTTTTCTTTATGCATTAACTAAATAAATAGCCATTAAATTTAACTGAGGAAACTAAACAAATTTTTATATTTTTTAAAAAACCAAAAAATGCAATTTAATATACAGGAAAGTTTTTTCTTTCTTTAATAAAAATGAAAACACTTAGAATGTTTGTTATTATTATTACATAGAGTGACAAATAGGTAGAACATACAAGGACAAACTGAATGACAAAGAATAAGAAGATGCAAGGAGGATGCTACATCGACTGACAAATTGGAAAAACATGCGATATATATATATATATATATATATATATATATATATATATATATATATATTTAAACATCTTTGCTTCCAACAAGGCTGCAAGCAACCACTAATTAGTGTTGGAAGTTACTGGAAGAGAAAAGATGAAGATTGTAGAGCAAGATACTGATTGACAGACGACTTAAAAAATTGCAAATTATATGAATCAGGAAAGCAAGATGAAGGAAGATTTATATATACATATATATATATATATATATACATATATATATATATATATATATATATATATATATATATATATATATATATATATATATATAGATAAATATATATATATATATATATATATATATATATATATATATATATATACATATATATATATATATATATATATATATATATATATATATATATATATATATATATATATATACATATATATATATATATATATATATATATATATATATATATATATATATATATATATATATATATCCTTATAGTGTAGTCGAAAGAGTCTTTTAATGTAAAAAAAGTCTCGACTACGATTTTAATAACCTCGTCTCTTAAGCTGTTTTTGATTGTCGTCGAAATGTCAAAACAATTAAATTAATGGGGAAGTACATTAAATTTTATTGTTTTTTAAAAAAACCGCAATAATAATGACTAGAAAGTTTTTTTTAATTAATGGTGTTTTTGTTTTTGTTGTTGTTTTATTAAAACGCATTTTTAAAATATGCACAGAGCGCTGCTATATCGACTATCTTATAGCCTGCTGCTACAAAGGAGTGCTGCTACATCGACTATCTTATAGCCTGACTCGCAATAGAGTGGTGCTACATCGACTGACAAATAGCCTGACTTGCAAGGGAGTGCTGCTACATCAACTGATAAATAGCCTGACTTGCAAGGAAGTGCTGCTACATCTACTGAGGGTTTGGTTTGAGCAGGCAGCCTATCATTTATAAAAAAAAATATGTATATTTAAGTTTTTAAACTTTTTCTGGTCTGGTTTATTAATGAGCTCTTTAAAACTAAAAGTTAATGGGAATAACTTTCTGACTACCATGCAAGACTATATATATATATATATATATATATATATACATATATATATATATATATATATATATATATATATATATATATATATATATATATATATATATATATATATATATATATATATATATATATATATACATACATATATCCTTATAGTGTAGTCGAAAGAGACTTTTATGGTAAAAAAAGTCTCTTTCGACAACAATTTTTTTACCTTGTCTCTTAAGCTGCATTTTATTGTCGTCGAAATGTCAAAGCAATTAAATTAATGTGGTACATTAAATTTTATTGATTTTTAAAAAAACCACAATAATAATGACTAGAAAGTTTTTTTTAATTAGTGGTGTTTTTGTTTTATTAAAAAACATTTTTAAAACACGCGTAAGTGTTGCTGCATCAACTATCTTATAGCCTGCTGCTACAAGGGAGTATTGCTACATCGACTATCTTATAGCCTGACTCGCAACGGAGTGCTGCTACATCAACTGACAAAAAGCCTGACTCGCAAGGGAGTGCTGCTACATTGACTGACAAATAGCCTGACTCGTAAGGGAGTGCTGCTACATTGACTGACAAATAGCCTGACTCGCAAGGGAGTGCTGCTACATTGACTGAGGGTTTGGTTTGGACCGGCAGTCTATCATTTAAAAAAAAAAAATTTTTTTTTGAAGATTTTTAACATTTTCTGGTCAAGCTTATTAACGTGCTCTTTAAAACAAGAGTTTATGGGAAAAACTTTCTGACTACCATGCAAGACTATATATATATATATATATATATATATATATATATATATATATATATATATATATATATATATATATATATATATATATATATATATATATATATATATATATATATATATATATATATATATATATATATATATATATATATATATATATATGTATATACAGGGCTCAATTTAAAAGGTCAGACATTAGACATTGTCCGGCTAAAACTATTGAAAATAAAAAAAAATATTTTTAAGTTGTTTAAACATTTTTTTCAAAAAATTGCAAAAAAAAAATGTTTAAAAAAACAACTTGTCTTTTTAAAATTATAATTTTTAATCATTTCATTCTTTGATTAAAAGTCAAGTTTGAAAAAAAAAAAAAAAAACTTTTAAACAATTCTTTGTAAAAATAGAAACAAAAAAAAAAGGCAATTAAATCTTGGGGAGATTTAATTTAACTTGTTCATAACTTAAAGTAACTTAAAATAATAATCTTTTAACAAAAAATTTTTAGAAAGACTTTCTATAATAAATCTAAATGTTTGAAACTATTTTAAAATAGTTTCAAACATTTAAAATATATTTAAAATAGTTTCAAATGTTTAAATTTATTACTATCTTAAAAATAGTTTCAAACATTTAAATTTAGCATAAAAAATACATACGCAATTAAAAAAAATTAAATATAACATTTAATTTACACAAAATGCGTTTTTTTTTTAATTAGAAATTTTGATTTTATTTTAAGTTTTTAAAAGTTTTGATTTTGTTTCAAGTTTGTTAAAGTTTTTTATTTTATGCCTTCACGTAAAATAAAAACTTTTAAAAAGATCAACGATTAAAAGTTATTTGTAATGTAACGATTTTTGTTGTTGTTGCATTTAATAGTTAAAACATTAAAACAGCCATTGTTAAGTTGTAAAGAATAAAAAAATGAGCGTTGTCAGTTACAGCGTGAAAATTTAAGTTTATCTAAAAAAATTATACAATATTAAATTAGAACTATTTTATTAAAAAAAAAAAAGCAAAATTGTGCGATAAAATATTTAAAATAACCAACTTTAAATAAACTTAATAACATGACAAAGATTTTGATGGTTCCGTAAAGCCGTAAAAATTATATTATAAAAATTTGATCGGACACTGTTTGACGCAAACAAGTGTCGATTGGACATTTTGTCCGGGAATTTATAAAAAATTAAATTTAGCCTTGTGTGTGAGTGTATATATAAATAAATATATATATATATATATATATATATATATATATATATATATATATATATATATATATATATATATATATATATATATATATATATAATGGTTATTCTGGGTCCAAGCTGAGTACCTGGTACACCTTTATATTCAGAGTACTGAATATAAAGATGTGCCAGAAATAACTGGAATAATCCAAATCAGATGCCTGGTCAAGGTTGGGTACTTTTTTTTGTGTTACTTTTTATTTATTTCTAATTTAGCATTTTTCTTTGGCCATTTTCAAAAGTATAGAATGTTAAAAATAAGAATACATAAACAAGTAAAAAAACAATAACTTCAGTAATTTTAATTAACATTAAAAAAATAAAATATTTTTTTCAAAAATCTCCTAATATTAAAAGTTTCAGTTAAAGCATTGTTAAACCAACGCGAATTACTTAATGACGTAATTCATTTTGTAAATGAAAAAGCGCCAGAACTTTAGTAAATGCATATAGTTTTAACTTGCGTTAAACAAATTTAAATAAAAATGTGCTTTAACTAAGTGTTGTTATTCAAAACTTTAAATGTAAAAACATAACAAATATATATATATATTTTAACATCTTTGCTTCCAACAAGGCTCCAAGCAACCACTAATTAGAGTTGGAAGTTACTGGAAGAGAAAAGATGAAGATTGTAGAGCAAGATAACAATTGACAGATGACTTAAAAAATTATATGAAACAGGAAAGCAAGATGAAGGAAGCAAATTCCAAAGAACTGATTTTGAGGAAAAAAACTAGAGGAATAAGAGTTTTTGGAGCAATTAGGAACAGTCACAAAAAAAGGATGAAACATAATTGAATGACAAGTAACACAAGAATGAATTTTAGTAGATAGCATACAAGGCCGGATTTGAGATTTATAGAGGTAGAGAATAGAATCCGGAGTAAGAAATTGTCAAGCTCGATAAAGAGATGCAACATTAGCAGATGCTAATTTTGCAACGGATTTGATATATGGTTTCAAAGAAAGATCGGATGTAAGAATTAATCCTAGAAGATGAAGGGTTGATGACTCATGGAGTACATTACCGTTCATAAATAAAGGAAGGACTAAATTATTGCGATAGCGATTGGCTGAAAAAAATTGAGTTTTATCTGAATTAAAGTTCACCAACCATTGTGAGCCCCAAGCTGTAGCAGAAGTGAGATCTTTTTCAAGCTCAAATGCCCCCTCCAAGCATTCAGAGAGTGTCTAGAAGATCGTTAATGTAAATTAAAAAGAGTATAGGGCCAAGGATTAAACCTTGAGGAACCCCTGAGGTTACAGAATAAAAAGAAGAGTGCTGTCCATCAAGGACAACTTTTATACTATGATAGGAAAAGAAAGATTCAATAAACTTAAAGATGTTTCCAGATACACTGTAAAAAGAAAGCTTATGTAGAAGACTAGCATGCCAAACTATATCAAATGCTTTAGAAATGTCAAGAGCAATGGTCTTTACCTCTCGAACTTTATCTAATGCATGATAAAACCTATCGGTTATTACTGTTAGCAAATTAGCTGTAGAACAACAAAAACAAAATCCATATTGATTATCAGAAAGAAAGTTATTAGATCCAAGATGAGTGATTAAGGGCTTGTAAATTAAAAATTCAAAAACCTTGCTTATGATAGGATTTGCATATCTTATTAAAAACTTAAGTTTTTAATCTTAATTTTGGAAAAAACAAAACTTACCCATATTTTTGTTAACTTACGTTACATGAAAATTGCAAAAGTTTTTTTGCCACTTTGCAGAAATACACATAATTTTTAAAGTATAAAATCTGACTGACAGCAATTTGAACATATTAGCTCCGTTTTCACGCTAAATTAATTTTGATCATGCAAATAAATTCATGTTTAAAATAATGATACTTTTTTAATTATGTAATGATAAGAACAACCGTAACTTTCAGAAGCATAAAAATGACCTAAATTAATTAATTATAGTACTAAAAGTATATTTTAAATAAACTTATAAATAAAAAAAAGTCTCTACATCCTTGTTTATTTGCTAAAAGTTGACAAAAAGAAATTATATATATATATATATATATATATATATATATATATATATATATATATATATATATATATATATATATATATATATATATATATATATATATATATCATATATATAAGTCTTTTTAAGAGGCACACGCAGTCGCACACCTTATATAACCACACATATAATATCATACTTTGACAATTTGGCCAAAACTCTTTGCATGTTTTAAGCTAACATGTTAGGAAAATTTGCTCAATAAACAAATGTAAATTTAAACTAAAATCAAAAATAAAAAAATGTAAATTGGAAAGATAAATTAAAACTATAAAAAATACAAAACTAAATTAAAAAAAAAAACAAAAACTTAATGAATGATAAAACGAATAAAATAAATAAAGAAAAGATAAAATTAATAAACCAAAAAAAATAAAAGCATAAAACCAATTTTTAATTTAATTTAAAAGTGTTTCACTAAAATGAATTTTGAAAACATCGAAGTTTCAAAGTTATTTAATCCAAGCTTAATTCAAACTATTTTAGAACTTAATTGTTAAAAAATTTGAAACTTTGATCTTTTCTAATGTCTACAAAGCAAATATAACATAAAAATTTTTTTTGTTAGGAGGACTTGAACTAATAGCCTATGCCATTATAACAATTACGATTTATAAGTGACACACTTACCTAAGCGCTACATCATGGCGAAATAGGAAAAATTATTAGCTTTAAATAATAATTAAAATACTTTTAAATTAAATTAATTAAGTTTGACCTATTGAGATGCTGCTAAATTAAAAAATATACTAGTTTTGTTCTTTTTCTGTCTCTGGTTTATCCTTTATTTATTTTATCATTTGTTAAGTTTGTTTCTCTTTTCAGTTTATGGGTTGTTTATTTTCAATTTTCTCTCAAATTATTTTTTTTTTTAGCACATTTAAACATGCAAATTATCAATATATGCAAAAAAAAAACCCATGGCCAAGTTATCAAAGAAAAATATTGTATTTGTGATAATATAAGGCGTGCAACCACCCACGTCTTCAGAGAAGGCTTGATATAATATATATATATATATATATATATATATATATATATATATATATATATACATATATATATATATATATATATATATATATATATATATATATATATATATATATATATATATATATATATATATATATATATATATATATATATATATATATATATATATATATATATATATATGTATGTTATACTCTTGCTTTGTTATTTTTAAATTTTCTTATAAAATGTTAAGTTAATGTTTTTTAAAAAAGATTTATTTAAAAACCCAGAAAAAGTTTTTTTTTATTTATTTAATAGACTGCCTGGCCATATTAAACCTTCAGTTGTTGTTGCAGCACTTCCTTGAAGTAGCAGGTTATGAGATGGTCGATTAAACAGCACTCCCTTGTAGCAGCAGGCTATAAGATAGTCGATTTAGCAACACTCCATTATAGCAGCAAGTTATAAGATAGTTGATGTAGCAACACTTTGTGAATGTTTTACAGTAAAAAAATAAAAATAAAAACAATCAGAATGTTTTTTATTTAAAAACAAAAATAAAAACATTCAATATGTTTTTAAAAATATTCTAGTTTTCTAATTTGTATTTTTGTGGTTTTTTTAAAAAACAATAAATTTAATTGAGTTTCCTCAATTAAATTAATGCGTTTTGGCATAATCCTTACTTAATTTTGCCTCGTTAGATGTCATAGAATAGTTAAGTGCTGTTTTTTTACCACAAAAGCCATAAGATCTTTACTATAGGTATATGTATATATACATATTTATATAAAGTAAAAGATTAGACAATAAGAACTTTCTTATTACTGTTGGTATTTTGCTGGATTAGAGAGTTACCAACACCATTAGCATGTAATATAATATTAAAACTACGACTGTTGAACTATGATTGCATGCATACTGCATACACAGAGCCTATTTGATATGCAGCAGGTCTTATTTAAAAGATGAGATAACTTTCTTGATTCAAGATATCACTAAGCACAGGTATGACAGAAAAAAAAAAAAGGTTAAGGATTTTGCTTTCTAGGTTCAGAAAAAACAATCAAGCAAAACTAATCAAATTCTAACATCCTTCCTGCAATCTCTTTATCAAGGATACCAATAAAATTACCTAGGGTATACTTAGGCTTTATAAAAATAATCGGAAAACTAAGTAGATTTAAAAGCAAATGCTTACTTTTTCTGGCTATTTTACTTACTATTTCTGAATGTTAAGTTTCCAACTCAACATTCAGAAATGAATCAAAGTACAATAGGCAACTAGGAAATTTATTTATAAAATAAACTGAAAGTTAATAAATGATTGAGAAAAAACAAGACACCTAAAGTAAAAATTAAAAAAATTGAAGAAAGTCGATGAAGCCTTGGAAATACAAAAATATTAAAGCTTTCCAATCAACAGTGGTAATACATCAAAACAAATATTTGGACTCCATTTTTTCATGAATACAAAAAAAAAGCCATTCTAATAGTAATAGCAAAGTTAAGATAAATTTGTTGTTGTTGTTATATAACTTAAATACCATAATTTTAAATTAAATTATATAATGATGATGCTGGTAAAAATAACCCAGCAAACATTTTACCTAAATTTTAACAGTATTGAAGTGAATTTCACATAAGATATTAAATGACAACTTTTAAACCATATTATTAAAAATAAAATATAATAAAAACAAAGAATTATTTTTAAAAATTGAGTCATCATTGATACAAACAAGTATAAATATATTTAAAAAAATTGTATAAAAATTTAAAATGATGACAAGAGGTAGTTTTACCTGTTATTCCAACTGCCCATAAAACTGTCCACAAGTCAAGCTTTGTAAAACTTGCTTTTTTAAGAAGCAAACTAAACAACATTTTTTTTTATTAAAAAAAAAAAAAACAGATTTCAAATTTCAAATTGATTTTTCCATAGAAAAAAAAATAAAAACTGACCAGTTCTCAAGATGTTGTGCACTGAATACAAAATATATGAAGAAAATATTCATAACTAAGAAAAGGAATATACCAAGGCAAACATGATTCAAGCGCTTCTCCTAAAACATTCATAAAAAAAATTATTGGGCAATCATTTTAATATAAATAAACAATATAACACTGTCATACTTTTAGTCCAACTTGATTTTTTATTGAGTTATTGACATGTAAGAAAGTTCCAAAAAGCCCAACTAAAACCAAAATACCTAAAATTGTAAAAATAAAAACTATGCAATTACACATTCTTTAAAATTAATTTTTAAACTATACTTTTTTTCCTTTTTGTAATGACAATTAGAGGCTAAATCTGCAGTGGTTTTTGTATCAAGCATAAACATGCACAACAACTCAATTTAAAAAAATCTGTTTAAATTATTATAAAAATGAAGATTAGATTATAGAGTATAAATACATGTCAGGTCAGCTTATCCTGCTACTGGTAACCCAGTACAATCTACTTTATGTCCTGCTGCCTTGTAGGATATGCCTGCTTAGGGAAAGGCAAACCAACTTCGACTAGACCCCCCTGCCTTGGGGCTCTTGGTTGAGTAAAGGCTAGAGATCGTGTTTCAATAAAAATACTCATCTTGGGCAGATAGTTAAATCCTAGGCAAAGACTTACTGGATTTTCTTGACTGATTGCTTAGGTTTTGCTTGTGTCTCTATTTATATGATAGGGTTTTGCTTGTTTCTCTATTTATATTTCTCTCTTTATCCATCAGCCAATTTGATGGCCCTTGGGTAGTAATCCTTCGTCTTCCTGCTGATAAATGTGCTTATTCATAACTTCACGGATTCAGGCTGGCATGGAATCTTTTATTCCTTCTCAACGATTCTAAGTCAAGCCTCACTCTTCTCCTTGGTAAAAGAAGATCCTTTATAATTAAACTTACGTTTTTAAAAAATGTAAGTTTAATTATAAAAATTTTATCATATGAACATTACAAAATGCTTCAAAACTTTTACATTAATCAACAAAATACATTCTTATATAAGTAAATAAAATTATTTTATCTTCTTGTATAATTTACATAAAATGTGTAAAGCTAGTAGTCACAAAAGGTTTTGAACTTATTTATAAATTAAAGTAACTTATTAAAAATTCTTTCAAATAATAATGGTTTAAAAGATTTTTAGAAAGACATGGAAAAATAATTTCAAACAATTTAATTTATCATAGAAAATAAATGCCTACATAAAAAAAAAAAATTATATAACATTTTTTATTAATTTACACATGCGTTTATGTAAACTATCATTATAATTAATTTTTATGGTTTTATTTAAAATCTTCGTGCAAAATAAAAACTTTAGAAAAGATCAACGATTAAAAGTTATTCATAACGTAACACTTTTTTAATTGAATTTAAACTGTTAAAACATCAAAATAGCCGTGGTCAAGTTGAAAAATATATATATATATATACACTAGCATGGTCAGTTACAGAGTGGGATTCAACGCCATTCCTGTCTAAGCCTTTGATTCATATAACTTGCAATTTTTAAGTCTTTCAATCATTATCTTGCTCCATAAACTTCATTTTCTTTCTTTAAATTGTCATTAACTTCCAACTATAATAGTGGTTGCTTGCAGTCTTATTGGAAGCGAAGATGTTGAAAAAACAAAAATAAAAAACAAGCTCAATTGTTTTTGTTGACATTGTGAGCCTGATATGGTGGATAGTTTATTTGGGCCATATAACTCTGTCAAAGTAAATCACAAACTGATTTATGTATTTAGTAATAAAAAATGAGTAAACAAAATTTTCACATTGAAAAAAATAATTTGTAACCACTGCAGTGAGCCAGATTAAACAATTAGAGGGCAAAACTATTTTGCTATATATAAACATTTTTTTTTTACTAAACCCATTTAAATGTTCAAATAGTTAATTTACATTAAAATTTACTTAAAAACTAATTAAATTATTGCAAATATCAAAAATAGTTTAACAAATTTTATAATTTTTAGAATGTAAATATAAGATTTTTGTATTACAACTAATAGAAATAGCATAACAAATATAAAGGGATCCCAAACCTGAGAAATTTTGTGTTTAAATTAAAGAGAATGAAACAAAAATGTTTAAACTTTTTTTTGATTAAAACAACATAATAAATGCATGCTAAGAAAAACTAACTTTTATTTTTAGTCAAAGCTTGTCTCCTCTATTTTGTTGTAGGTTAAATAGTCTTCATAATATATGCCGCAATTTGCAGACTTGGTAAATTATTCAAGCGAATTTTTTTCTTATTAGTTTTGTACATGACGACATTGATTTTTTTTGTTTGTTTACATAATCAATCGTTTAAATAACAAAAAACCCAATGACATCATGTACTAAAACTCTTAGGTTTAAAACGCGCTTAAATAAATTATTAAGCCTGTAAATTGCAGCATATATCATGAAGACTATTTAGCCTACAATAAAACAGAAAAGTAGAGCTTCAACTTAAAAAAAAAGTTAGTTTTTTTTGGCATGCATTTATTCTGTTGTTTTAATCAAAAAAAATTTAGCTCAATTTTTTTTTTTTTATCATTCTCTTTAATATGAACACAACATATCTTGGATGTTTTGGATCCTTTTAAAGCACGTAACAAAATAACAAACTTTTTCATATTTGTACTGTTTTCATATTAAGATTTATATTTTATAAATCATGTTAAATCTGGGAGCAAAAATAACATAGTAGTTCAACATCAATAATCCTTATCTGCTAGAATTGACTTTAAAAAATATATATAAAATTAAGACAAAAAATATATTATATATTATTACACAGAAATACATACTGAAACTTTTTTCTTCAGCACACTGTCTTATTTCTAATAGTATGTATATCAATTTGATATAAAACTTTCAAAAACTTATGCTAGGCATTCATCAGGTGAATACTTACTTCAAAAAAGCTGATTTATTGCTCAGCTTTACGTAAATAAAAATTTCAGCAAAATCACAAAAATTTTTATTCATATAAGGCTGAGTAATTACTCCAAAAATGCTGGTAAAAGCTATTACCTTTTTTTATTTACCTAGCCTTTTGTACATAAGTGTTCTTTTGATTAGAAATTAACAATCTTTTTCAGAAGACTCTATTAGAAAACTATACTATACACATTTTTTAGTTTCAATTTTGTTGCATGAAGTAATTAAAGAATAAACATTACTGTTTATTAAGCTTTCTTGTTTTTTTCTGTCACAAGATTACAAACAGCTATAAGTAAAATTTTGATTTAATGTAACATATAAGGGGTTGTCCATAAATTACATCACGCAATTTTTGATCATTATTGACCTTCCCACCCCCCTTGTCACAAAATCGTTAACACTTAAGAAGCAAGTTTTGTATGAGTCATCACAAAACCACAAAACCCCTCCCCCATTTTAGCGTGATGTAATTTATGGACGACCCCTAAGATAATATTTTGAGATTTTATAGTGGGTTAGTAAAAAATCATGAGACAGCTAATTTTCAATACTTTTCTCAAAATAAGTACTGTCATTACTTTTAACTATACATTTTTTGCACTCAGAACCTTTCAACTTTATAAAAAATCAATATAGTTTTTGCTGTTTATTTTGCCACTTTAACAAACAATTTATATGGCAAAATATAAAATTTGTGAGAATTTATTATGTCAAATGAAGTTAAAAGAGAATTTGATATGGACAATTTAAATATTTTTAAAATATCTATAACAATAGGTTGTAGACATAATATTTAACTAGTTTGAACATATTGTTGCAAGCTTTTAAAGTTTTTTGATTTTATATTAAATTTACATTTTATTGTAAAATTATAGTAAATATTTGAAACTATTTGACACTTTTAGTAGAAAATAAAAGTATTAGGTCTTTTTATTGTACCTCAATATTTTAAGCCATCATTTTATTAAGGTTAATCATTACTTTATTTTTTATCTATGTAAATATATACTATTGAATAAGGAAACTACACCATAATACTTTTTTTGAAAAAAACAACAACAAAAATTTTTTGAAATTTATTTTGTGCATTAAACTATTTTATCCTTCAAAGAAATTTAATTACACTAACATTTAAGATTTTGATTCTTGCTTTTTTTTTACCCCACCCTGCCCAAGTACAGCTTCTTGTTTTTGACAACAATGAAAAAATGTTCATTAAAAATAAATGGAAGCAAAATAAATCATTTTAATTAAATGCCATTAGAACTATTATACTATACAAAAAGCCTATTTTATGTATGAAAATGAGTTAAGTTAAAAGAATTATAGAGTGTCAAATTCAGATTATGTAAGCTCATTTGAACTTGTGCTGAAAAAGATTTTTAACTAAAATATTTTCCTTTTAGCATTATCAAATGCTAAAAAACGTAACAAAGTTTTTGTGGTTATTGTTTTTAATAAATTTTTGAGGCTGATTGAATTTGTTACACTTTGAAATAAAAGAGATTTTATCAACGTTTTAGATTAGCAAGGTGCCATATTTAGATTATTTAAAGTTATGTATTATTTACAACTTGTGATGAAACAACATTTTCCTCTTCAAGTATCTGATAAATGCGCTACATTATAAGTTTTTATTAGTAAATTTATTACATGTCAGATTAGCCAGGTTGTATCATAATATATTTCAAATATTTTTATTTTCAAAAAATTTAGAACTCTGTTCTTCAGAATTAAATTATAAGCTGTATCAAAGATATTAAACATAAAACATCAATACTGTTTGTATATTCCTAAATTTTATAAGTAATTTTTAAGTATTTGAAAGCTATTACACTGTCCTAATTACATATATGGTGATATGCAAAGTTAAAAAAATTTTGTTTTTTAAACTTTGCACATCACCATATATGTAATTAAAACAATAGAGGATTCATTTTATGAATAAAAAATATTATCAATTATTTACATTTAATTTATTTATAAATAGATAACACAATTGACAAATGAAATAGATACACATAATTAGAAATTGATTATATGCAAAACTTGATCAACAGCTACAGCAAAAAAATTATTTAAAAAAATACACTAAAAAAATGCATTTTGATTACCGCAACAGGGCAACTAGAGTTGAGGAGGTTACTTTTTTTTTTTTTTCTTTACAATTTTAGGTACAACCCTTTTTTAAATCCTTGACTCCAAACTACTAGTCTTGACAAACAAGGTTGCTGCACTGAGAAATAAATTTAGTTTTTGAGCGTAATACTACTACTAAACTACTATCATATCATTTTTCTTACATTAGCTGTTAAATTATTAAATTTCCAAAAAAATTTCCAAAAGTGTGGAAATGTTTTTAATAAATATTTTAAAACTTACCTAATCTATGATCCCACATAATTCGACTAAGAACTAACAAACAAAAAGGTAACGCTTTTTCCAACCAAGAAATAGTTCCTAAAAACTCCATATGATCCTGAGTTCTATTTGTTGTAGAGTCTGAGGGTTGATCAGGTAAATCACCACCAATATCAATTTCAACAGAACTTGAATTCCTGGTAAGCATCCCAGCTTCGCTTCTTGTTCGCATATGATTTGAATTTACAGCTTGAGAAACCCCTCCTCTATTAGAGTTTGTAACTGCTGTACTGGCTTGAAACTGTTGAATAACTCGCATAGGGGAAAAGATAGTTTCCATTGCTGATCTTGGAACAGTACTTATATTTTGATGTGACCAAGAAGCTGAACGAAAATGGGATCCCCTAAGAAGAGGAGTTGATCTAAAACTAATAATTGATGAGATATTATTTTCACGTGAATTCTCAGTATAAGTCAGATTATTGATAGCCATAATTTATTACAAAACTGCTCTTTGTTAAAATTGAAAAAGCCATCAAAAGTGAAGTATATTTCGGTTTGATATTCTTTATTAACAAAACAAATAACTTTCCTCTATCATATTTTTAAACTAAATAAAAAAGGAGATTTCTTTGCAAAAATAAGTTTTTTTTTAAGTTCGTTTATAACCAAATAAAAAGTCAATATAAATTAAGCATATCAAATCTTTTTATGTATGATGAGTTTAAAAAATTAAAATAAAATGAACTAAAGTATGCTAGTACTGAATAATAAAGTCTTTATTTTGAAAATTTAAAAAGCAAAGAATAAGATTTAGAGATTAAAAAGATTATAAAATGAAGATAAAAAGATTTAAAAGATCTCAAATCAAGTCTTCATAACATAAAAATCTCCTTATTTCAAATAAGGATTTATAAGAGATAGAGATTGATTGTAACAAATAATATTTGTTACAATCAATGTTAAAATAATATATATATATATATATATATATATATATATATATATATATATATATATATATATATATATATATACATATATATATATATATATATATATATATATATATATATATATATATATATATATATATATATATATATATATATATATATATATATATCCAAACTTGTAATTTAGACCTTAACTAGTTTTTACTTGTGTGCATTAAATAAAATGAAGTGTCAATACTCATCGCATTGATTAATGATAAAAAACAATATTTTAAGCATTTAACACTTTGCATCAATTTAAAAAAACAAAACAAAAAAAAGTATTATTCAGAACTAAAATTTAGTTGCACTTATTCATAATAATATCTAGCAGTGTTTTGGTATTAAACCGGAAGTAATTACTGTTTGCAACTCGCTTATCCGTCCGTCTTCGAAAATGTAAACAAAAGACTCTCCAGAAGGCAGAAAACTTTCTTACGGAGATTAATGTTAAATAAGAGTGAGCAGGAGGAAGGGGAGGGTTGGTAAGGTGATCGCATTAGGATCACTGTTTTAAAAAGCTGCCGCAATTTGTAAGCAAAGGTTAAATTTTTTGCCGAAATAAAAAATTAAAAACGCATATTGAATTACTTTCAAATTAGAATATCAATATAAAATGAATAGAGATAAGGGCCGGGTTAAGACATTTTTAGGCCTGGGGCTGTTAATATTTGAGGGTCTAATGTAATGGGCACCTCAAAATTTCGAATAGGAACGAGGCTATACCAGAGGGTCAGAGTAACATTCATTTTGGTTAGCAATTAAATTTAAATCTGTAGCTAGTTTTTGTTTTCTTGGAAGGGTTAACTTTTTAAATAAACACAGTCGATATCTCTTCTGTAAACTGTTTTTTTTTCCGGACATTTCTTTTGCTTGTTATTCTGATGTTTACTCGTTGCAACCAATTTCAACGTACTTTTGAGGTTCATGTCTCTATCTTTGAGAAGTTTTTGTTATATTTTTATAGAGTTACATCCTAATAGAAATTGATCCTTTACTGCCTCAACTACATCTGAAAAAGTGCTATATTCAGCTTGTTTTTGTAATCCAATAACAAAACTTACATTACTTTCTTTTTCATTTTGTTTTGCGCTCGTCAAAAAATGTAGCTTTCATACGTGATACTCAATCTTGATTTGTAAAACTTAGGGTTTGGAACTTATGCGCATATCGGCGAATAAATGCACATACCATAAGTTATGCGTATTGTTACGCGCATATAACAATTTTTATAACACAAAGCTTACCAATTTAATTTATTTTTGTATTACATTTGCTCATTTATAATTTTTCACACTCAAACTCGTTGTGAACTGCTCCTTCCTCTTGTATCCATCAAAAAACTATTGGTATAAATGAAAACTATTTTTTTTACGCGTTCGTTTGTCAATTTATTTCTCAATCGTGAATAAATAAATCAAAAAATCGACCAAGTTCTCTCTGCTGTTGCTGATGAACAAATCATTTCAACAATAGATTTTGCGACTTTGAAGACTGCGGAATATTTCTGACGATAAATAATGTCCCAATAATTGTTTGCGCTCATTTTGAAAATTGTCTCTTTTCTTTTTTCTGTCAGTGTTGTCATTTCTCCAATAAATTTAATTATTTCACTTTTAACTGTCTCAGCAGTTGTTGGATTTGTTTTAGAGGCTAATTCTGATATTAAACTGATAATATCAGTCTTATCCTCACCAGTGTCAGTATATAGGCAGTTCCCATTTTCTTCATAATCATTTCCTGAATAATTTCCTCATTTGCAAATTTCTTGTACATTTCGCCAAAATAATAGTACACCAAAGATAATGGGGCATCATCATTTTCAAGCTTTCGAATGACGCTAGAATGATATTCGATATTTTTCACGAGATTCGCCAAACTATCCTAGAAAGCATTTAATTTAATTAGCGTCAAAATAACAGCCGAGTTGGTTTTCGGAGAAATGTCTTTCAAACATACATTTTCCTCATCCGCAAGTTGAATCAAAACATACTTTGCCATACAAAGGTCGTTCATTGAATTAAATTGACTGAGCCATCGAATACGAGCTGCGAATGCTTTTCGTCAAAATTTTTTTTAACAATGTGATAATTTTTCAAAAACTTGATGATTTTCTGAGCTTTTTTGATGGTCTTTCAACTTTAACAGTGCTAAAATGCTGTACAGCCATACTTCGAGATGTGTGGAAATTTATTTTCAAATAATTTACAAGCAGCTTTCATTTCTGGAGCATTGTCAGTGATAATGCTTCTGAACTTTTGTTGGCAGAGAGTTTCGATTACTTTAATGATGGCACCAGCAACTGCTGCAGCGTTTTGAATTATAGCCGATGTGTTGATTGAAGTATAGAAAAACAGGTTTGTATTTGTCTAAGGGCTTGTGGTTGCAGTCCCATCAACCCCCGCTTTAATAAGGCCCTGATAGAGACAAACATGAATAATATTATTCTAAAGAGATAATATTTGTATTATTTAACATTTAAAAAGTTTGAAAAATTAAGTTTGACTAGCAACTCAGAAATTCTTGATAGACTTTCTGCATTGTTTGGCGGAGAAATTTTAGTAAAGAGATCAACGATTGGCATCTAATTTTTCTATCTTTTGATGCTTTTTATCTTGATGCTTTTGAGTAACATCAAATGATTTCAGAATATAAAACTGGTACGAACAATTATGATTTTTTTTTTAAATTACAATTTGTGACATCTTATTATTTGTTTTGATATAAAATAAGTGACTTATTATTCAATCAAAAGTAGTTTTCAATATAAAATTACTATTAAAAATTTTAAAATTAAAAATTACTATTAAAATTTTAAAATTTAAAAATTACTATTAAAAATTTGAAATTACTATTAAAAATTGAAAATTGAAAATTACTATTAAAATTAAAATTACAATTAAAAATTTAATTACTATTAAAAATTGAAAATTGAAAATGCGGGCAGCGTTACTGTTACATATATTTGGTAATTTTTTTTTTTTATTACTAGATTGAGAAGAGAAAAAGTTGAGACATCGACTTGCTACCTATAACCACTTAAAATACTTTTTTCGTAAAAAGATTTTATGTTATTTTTAATGCGTTAGTTATTATGTAACATGCAATCTGGATTCAAAAAAAAAAAAATTCAACAGAGAATGCTATTATTCAGCTTTCAAGAAGTATATCAGATTTATTTAACAATTTTAAATTCACATTGAAAATATTGATTGATTAAGCAAAAGCGTTTAAGGGGCCTTCCTTAAACGACGTCACGCAACTTATTGCAATATTTGACCCCCTCCCTCCCCCTCGCCACAAAGCGTCACAAAAGTGTAAACTCCCCCTAGATTAATACGTCGCAAAAAGATGACCCTCTCTTCCTCTTGGATATATGTTGCATTATTTCTATAGTTAACTAAATATAAAATATTTTTCAAAATTGTTATCATGTATATATGTTTAATGGAATAATTACAATGGCCAGCAATGATAGAGGAAATTTATTATCTTTTTTATTATTAATTTTATTATATTTAAAGATTTATTATATTTAAATATAATAGTAATTGTAACTTTAAAATTTAAAATGATTTTAACAATTAAATACAAGTTTAAACATTTTTAGTAACTGAACTTTATTTAAACCAATTATAAAAAACAAAGCATGAAACTTTGCTGAAATTAAAAAAATAGCAAAAAATATTTTTTCATAGTGAACAAAAGTGCCTTATTGTAGCAGTACAAAATAAGCCTCGGTATGTTTAGCTCTAATTAATTTTACTGATACCGTTGATGAATGACGCTGGCGTTAAAGAGAAGTTCATCTTTTGAAGGCCAGCGTCATTGGTAAGAAAAGAATGACAGCTCACTTCTACTGATTGTGAAGCCATTTGTTTTAAACTGTTTGCCAGTTGGTCTAACGTTTTGATGCTTCTATATACATCACTATTTCTTTTTTTATAAGATGCTGATCTATGCATAGCAATATTCACAATAGTTTCAAATAGTAAAGGCTGATTTTGTTTGAATCTTGGAATATCAGGCTTGTCTCTGACATTCAAAGTTATACGTAATTCTGAATTATCTTCAAACGAAGAAATGAATTTTCTTTTCTTGAGCTCTCTTGCTTTTTTCACTCTTCTCTGGTCAGAGTTTTTTTTTAATCAACTGCTGTTCTAAATTGTCTTTTTTTTTTTTCTTTTCTTTCAATTCAGCATCTTGCTCAAATGAAAAGTATTTCACGTTTTTGTCGCTTGAAAAAATTGACTAAATCAGAACTCAGAATTTCATAATGTGTCTTCTTTTTCACAGATCGTCACAAAAGTGTGGACCCCTCCCTCCCCTAGATGCGTGACGTCGTGTTTGGACAGCCCCTAATACAATTTTTCATAAAATTCATGTTTTAAAATGGTTGAAAAGTTATTTAACTAATCGTAAACAATTTGTTTACGCCGATTAAATATTTTCATTTAGTTTGTTAAATATTACATTTAGAGTTCCTCAAGGATCCGTTTTAGAACCTCTTCTTTTCTTTATTTATATTAATGATCTATTCAATGCTTCGGATTTCATAACAATTATGTTTGCTAATGACACCAATTTATTTATATCATACAAAAGCATTCTTAGTCTATTTCATTACGTGAACATCAAGTTAATAAAAGTATCTGACTGGTTTAAGACTTACAAATTGGTAAAATCATATTATAAATTTCAAAATGTATAGGAATATTGTACAAAGCAAGAAATGTTTTAAATAAACGTATTTTGGTACAATTATGTCACTCAAAGACCCTCATACTCAAGCCAAACCTGTGTTATTTGAAATAAAAGTTTTTAATATATATGAGCCTTATACTTTTAATATTCTTTGTTTTATCTTTAAATGTATAACCAATTCATCCCCGACTTCTTTCCATTATTTATATTCATCAAAAGATAAAAATAAATACATTTTACGCAATGATAATTTTATTAAGCACGCTTAAAAATAGTGTGGACAAAAAACACGACACTTAGTGTAGTGTCTTTTTGGCTACACAATTTGTGTACTTCAAGGCTACACTTGTGCGCTTTAAAGCCACACTTGTAATTATGAAATTAAACTTCATTATATGCGTAAAAAAAGCCACACTTTGTTGGATTCTCGTATCGAATTATTCGGAAAGGAGGCTAGAATCATGTTTTTAGCGACATGTTTTTTTTTATGAACCATTTTCAGTTTTATTAAAAATTTTAGTGTAACTTTTATTGCTGCATGGTAATTTTAAACACATACATAGTTAACTTTTTCATAAAAAAATTTTGGTTTGTAATATTTTAGTAATATCGTATTAAATATGTTAAGCGAGGAAAATATCGATTTTCAGTTGTTAAAAATTAGGTAAGACCTTCGGTTTGTAGTACATTACTACATGAATTAGTTGTGTGACTTTATTTAATTAGACTAATGTTATTATTTTATATATATTTTATTAAAATGTTAATACAATTATTTTAGTTACGTTAACAACATTATTATGAAGTTATAAAAATTATAACATAATAACATTAATTATATAAAATAACATTAGTCTAAAAAAAATGTGTAAAATATAGGTTTAAATAAAATCACATGACATTACCAGTTAACTGGTAATCTGTTAACATAATACAAGTAATTTGTTAATATAAATGTAAATAATGTTGTTAAATAATATTGTTAACGTTAAACGTTAATGTTAATGTTGTTAAAGTTAATTTTTTTATGTTATAACAAAATGGAAAATATTTAATACATAAATATTATCAAATAAATATGATAATAGTGTTATTTTAGTTAAAATAGCAGCATTTGAGTTATATTAACAACAACTATTTTAGTTATCATATGTTAACAACTAGATATATATGTATACCATAAAGGTATACTTTACATTATGTACATATCTTTTTTTTTTTGCAGAGATAATTAATAAAAATCATTATTGCATGATATATCATTCAATAATGATTTTTATTAGTTAAGATTATGATTTTTAGTCATGTTGCATGTTGAAATAGTGTATTAAATAATTTCATCATACCTATGAAAGCACTCTAATAAAATTATATTAATATATGCAATAAATGCACAATTGCAACTATGATTTATAGTGCTATAATATGTATATATTGTGTATATATATAAATATATATATATATATATATATATATATATATATATATATATATATATATATATATATATATATATATATAAATTTTTTTTTTTTTTTCTGATAAAAGTTATTAAAATGTTTATTTGCTATATATATGGTACTTTTACGTAACTATTGATTTTTTTTCAAAATCATCTACAACGTCATAATAGTATTGCCGAAATTGTTTATCCAATTAGATGTTTACAGAATGGCTGTAAATGTACCTGTACAGCTTATATGTCGCTAATTAGACATGTAAAATGTTACCATAATATTGATAATGATTTCATTGATAAAAATCCTGAGCCAAAATATATAGTAATCCATTAAATGATAATCGTAACGATTTATTGCCTAATTTTTCAGAATATTCATTGCCTAGTTTCCCAGAGAATTCTACTTATCAAGTTTACACTTATCCTGAAAAAACAATAGAATATATTGATCCTTTGTTAGTTTCTTCATTGTGAACAAGCAGCAGTGTTCCTTATTACATTATACCTGAAGTAATTGTTTCTCTTAACAGTAATTTCATAATCATTAGTTTCCTATATTGCAGCGCTCAAATAGTTTTTCAAAGCTTGCCAATAAAATGTAATTATTTCACAAAAAAAGGTTTTCCTTGAATTTTTTGAAATTTCTTCAAACATTGCTGATCATTAATCGGTTGTTATTTTGAGCGATGATATTGGTAATGCTGCTTTATCAGTTTTCAATGACATTAGAGCAGATTCCACTCTATTATTGTTTAAAAGTAAGTTTGAAAGTAGTGTTATACATTGCAATGAGCCACTAAAGTTTCTTGACACATTTTATAAACAAGATAAACACTTAGAAAAAAATTCTTTTTTTGTAACTTCTGAAACATGCAACATGGGCCCTCCTAGATATGAAATTAATGAGGGAATTTCAAAGATAGTTTCATTTCATTGAAGAGGTATCAAGTAATATTACATTGCATGATGGCTTTAACACTTGCAAACAAAACATTCTGTTACTAGCAAGAGATTCAATGTTCAAAAATACTTTGTCAGAAGACTAATATAATGGAGGTATATATATGTCTACTACCCTAAGTGGGGAGAATGAATAAATAAGAACTTTATAAAATAAGAAATTTTACAACATAATTGTCAGTCTGCATAAGTACTAAGCTGCTGCAACTTGACTATGTGCCAATCTGCAAAAGTGCGAAGTTTCTCTTTCTCATCTTATTTCATTTATTAGTTCCTTATGTAATATACCCTTTTAATCCAAAAGAATGTTTTTTTATAATCTACCTATAAAGGTTTATAAGTATATACAAGTTGTTCCCTGATTTATTTTTATTTTTATTTAGAAGATGCAACTTTGCTTGCATTTAAGGCGCTCCCTTTCCTTATGATAGCACCTCCACAGAAGGGCAAGAAGAGTCCAAGAATTTGGCTTTATTTTATAGAGAAATGGATGTAAGTTTTTTCTATGCATTTTTTTTTAAAGTTAAATTTGGTTTATAATCAATAAGTATTACTTTTTTGAGCTTTGAATTTTCTGCATTTTTAAAATTTTACTTAAACATTTAGGTACACCTCAGTCTTGAAAGCTCCCTTGAGTTATTGAAGTAGGAGAAAGTTTTTCTACTGATTTTATTCAAGTGTTTCAGCACTCTATTTATAATTTAAATTATAACTATAATTATAAGTCGATAATACAGCTATACGGTTGGAAGCCATACCGAGTATTGGATTTGCTTTTGAGTTGCTGCTAGTCTCATGTATTTAATGTCAATTTTCCTCATGAACTTATTTGTGTATATGGATTTATGGGAAATTTGCTTGGAATAAACAACAAAAGAATTATCGTCAATTCCTTTTAAATAAAGTATTGTCAAAAGTTTAAGATTAAATTAAGCAATATGTTTGTGAAACGAAAAAGTATTTTTATCACTTTCTTGTTTATTTTTGTTATATCGTCAGCCGAGAACCAAGAGACCGTATGTCTTTTTTTTGTGTTTCCAAGAAAATCAAGTTTCAAATTTTAATTTGCAAAGTCTCTCTTCCAGAAAATTCGACTGATTATTTAAATATTTCCTAAAATTTTATTGTTGTGGTATATTTATGAAACACGCACTCCTGAATATTTATTGATAATGGACAAAAAAAAAAACACAAAATGTTGATATACGGTTCTTCTCTGACGGCGGTATCTATTTTTCAAAGTTTTAACTCGCTTTTGCATATAAATGTTTTAAGACTTGTTTTTAATTTAATATTCACTGAATTGAGTTTGAGTTTAAACTGAGTTTATATACTTAAAAGAAATACTATAACAATGCATTGACTCGGAATTAAAATAAAATTTATATTTCAGTTTTTATTATTTTATTGTGATATCGTTCCGTTATTTCTTGTAAGCCAATATAATATACATGTGTAATTTAGTATATGACTCTAAATGACAATGTGTAATTTATTATATGATATAAATAGCATTTTTTTATTTGAATTATTTAATTGCGTCCGGTTATATACATAGTACATGAAGACCTAAATGGGCGGAATAATTCACGCATAAATATACTTACAAAAAATCAAAACATTTTTAACGTCTAGAAAAACACAGATTAGTGTTTAAACTATAGTGTTACATTTAGCGCAACACTAATTTTGAGGTTTTTTTACAACAGTTTTGTCGCGCAAAAAGAGCATATATATACAGCCATTGATTAAATGCAACAATTATGTCGAAAAAATTTCTACAAAAGTGTCGCATTAAAGGCCAAAAAGTGTGACTTTCAAGTCTACATTTTATGTAGCCTTACGAATGCAACACTGAGTGTGGCTTTTAAAGCCACATAGTGTTGGTGTAGCCGGCGTCGACACTCATTGTTGTATTCTACGCGACATAATGTAGCCTACGGCTCAACACTATTTTTAAGCGTGC